ACTTTCGTACGCGGAGTTTCCTAGATTGCGCGCAAAGTTAAGAACTGTTGGAAATTTATCTTTAAAGTGACCCACACCGTGAAGTTTTTCTACTTGGGTAGTAAGACAAGATTGGAGATCAACGTGGATGTCTTTGTTAATCTCTTGAATGGTGGAATGAAGCCTACCAAGCTGGCTATAAATCATCTGCACGGACTTTAGGATCCGATTTGACACTCTCCCTTCGGGGCCATTGGTGACTTTCTGAGAGCTAAGTGATTATTGTACTGTACTGTTCCTTCAAGAAACCTTTTTTATCGCTTCAGAAATTGTTAAACAGGTAGCCGTTTTGTGTTTGAGATAACAGAAAATGCTGTATATAGTTTTGCAAGTTGTTTAAAAAAGATGACTGTGACTGCATGATGGCTGTAAGTTTCGGTCTGCGAATCAGTGACAAAGACGGTGCTATTTTCAGTGCTAAGTGATAATTGTACTGTACTGTTCCTTCAAGAAACCTTTTTTATCGCTTCAGAAATTGGTAAACGGGTAGCCGTTTTGTGTTTGAGATAACAGAAAATGCTCTGTATAGTTTTGCGAGTTGTTTAAAAAAGATGACTGTGACTGCATGATGGCTGTAAGTTTCGGTCTGCGAATCAGTGACAAAGACGGTGTATTTTCAGTGCAAATACCCATGGACTGGCCAAATGAAAAATTATCTTCTCTTCCTTGTTGTTACCGTCAAAGCCATTTTCAGATATCACCTCAATGGTACCATCCTGACGGAAAGTTCCTGCATCATTGAATAAAACACCTTCATGTGTTTGGGTGATCTCTACGCTCGCGGCTATAAATTCCCTTGGGAAGTCAGCTGTAGATGGGTCTGAGTGTACCGATGTGTGAACTGGGTTACATCAAAAGACTCGAAAGTGAAGTTAAATCAAGCCACCAGATGTTTGTTAAGGTCGTTTGGCTAAATTTACTATTTATTTTCTTCAATTGATCTTTAATGTACGTGTAAACAATCGAGGATTCTAGCAGTTCATGTTTCACGGAGTGCACTTGAATCACGATTCACAGAACAGTTTTTTAGTACATCACGATTCACTGACACCAAAAATGGTCGATCACGGCGTCACGAAAATACTCTTGCCCCCCCCCCCCCATAAAAACTCTTGGTCTGGGGGGAAAATGTGAATATGATGATAACCAGATTTGATATCAAAGGAAAAAGGCCAATTCTGAGTACAATTGATAAAAGAAAAAACCATGGTTTTGGCGTCCTCAAATGACTTGGATACCGTAAGTCTAATATGAGCCTTTTCTTACCATTAGCCTGAATGGAAACTGATAGGGGAGTTAACCACAGTAGGGGCACACCCACACACTGAGCCTGTTATTAGAAGATCAGAAATAGCTTGCTCCACAAATTCACTATACTGAATGGCAGATCGATTATTGCCAAAGCTCGCTGCGGGTGGGGTGTAAATAAAGGGGATCTTATACCATCATGAAGCGAGAAGCACCTTTAGGCTCCCAAAAAGCTATATTACGCTCAAGACTACCTTTGACTTTAACAATAGGCACTCCCTCCTGATATTCAGGACTTATTACATCATTAGATAAAACAGACACATCAATTAAGTTTTTGACAAGTTCCACTGGATAAAAGTCATTTAAACGTGTAACTAAATTAGCGTGTAACTCAATTATACTCATCTCGTCCCAAAATCCGTAATGCAACTTTGTATTTTTCATCAGATTGCGAACATGGTGCTTGAAGGGACTGCAGCGGTTCCTCTGAGGCGGCTGGGGCAGGAAGCTGAATTTGCCCAATGACCTCTCTGACCACAACTAAAGCACTTGTCCAAGAGTATTGGAAGGCCCAGCAGAAGCACCTTCACTTGATGGCTGCCGGGTGCTTGTATAGCTAGGTCAAGCAGACAAATTACTACGCTTCCTCTCACGAATCTTTGCCAATGCCTGTCTTTCGGCTGAACAAAGTTTCTTTTCACCCTCAAAATCCTTCGTCGGCTCATTCGATTCGTACTCCTCAACAGCTGTCCAGCCCGCGGGACTCTTCTATGCAAAACGAATACGTGTCTTTGCCGATTCGATTTCGGAAATTGCTCCTGAAAGGTTTCCTTTTGAGATGTTCTTGATAGCCCCGTCCACTAAGTCGTGCAAAGAGATGTTTAACTCGTACTGGACTTTGTTTGCCTTGAAAGTAAACGAATTCTTAAGTTGCGATTGAGTAACAGCTTCTTTGTTCTCGAGATCACGCATGAACGCGGCAAACTTTTGATCAAATTTGACTTCGAAAAGTTGCGAAAAGAACTGCAAGGTTTCAGCGTTTGAAAAAGAAATATCCCAGGAACGAGCAGTCAGTCGACTACTATCCCTGGCATTGTGTTTTCAAGATTGCTTGAGGGACTTAAGAAGTTTGCTGGCAGCCGTGACGATGGGATGCTGGAAGGGTGGATTGGGGACGCTACCCGTGCCATCGCTGGACAAACAAATGCTGATACCATGGACTGTTTGCTCTACCACCTGGACAGTGTAGCCAAGGAAGAGGTCCGCCTACGCCCAGCTGAGGAGAGAGCCAGCCCTGCCGCAGTCTTCAAGGTCCTGCAAAAGAAGACAGAGGGATCGCGAATCAGTTCATGAGTTCTCCCATGCCTTGATGCTAGTTCTAGCACGGGTGGAGCGCCTGGATGCAGCAGCAGCTACAGATAAGGAGGACAAGCTTCTGAGAGACCATTTCCTGGAGATATGGCAGACCACCAGCTCCGAAGAGATATCAAGTGCTGGGTCAGAGACCACCCCACCAACACCTTCCAAGAGATCAGAGATGAAGTCCAGCGCTAGATTGACGAGGACGGACTCCCCCAAGAATGGCTATTGTGCGTGAGGCTACAACAGGACACCCCCCTAACGAGGTCTACCTGTGATGAGGTGAGGGGAGCTGCAGACCTGTGAAAGCGATAAGTGAGCTGGTAGTGGGACAGAAGACCCTGGAAGAGAACCTCCAAAAACAACAGAAGATCCTGGCTTCCTCGCAGATTCAATGGCAGCGAGCCGCTTTAGAGAAGCAGCAACAGGCCCTCTCCCAGCTCTCCATGGGTAGTCAAAAATGGTGGCAGCCTGGATGTTTTGGCTGTGGGTCACAGACCCATATCTGCAGAGATTGCACAATGCTGAGCCGTAGGTTTTCAGCTTATAGTGCCGTGGAGAGTAAGGCTTGTTCGTGACGTTTTTGGTCCTACTAGTCCGATCCAGCACGGTACACTCTGCTAGGGAGATAGGTTGGGCTCTAGTCACCCTTTTGTCACACAGGGAAGTCGAACATCACGCCTATAGCGGAGCGGTGTTCCCCCTTTTAACGCCAATATGGCATGTTGTCTTTCTTTACGTTTGAATTTAAAATAACACGGTACAGGAATCGCGTAGTCTTTTTACCTAAACACAGGAGCGGAGACATTAATGGTATTATAAAACACCACAGGGGCAATTTTTCATCCAAATGATACGCGAAAGAACAGGCGGGGACACCATCTCAGCTATATCTCGGCTATAGTTCAGCGAGCTTTAAGTCTGATTCAAGCAGGTGGACTTGTAGAAGATAGGGATTTTCAATGAAAACGGCAAACTCGAGAGGGAAAATACCAGACGAAGCCACAAATCTAGCCATTAAGCTACCAGGAAATCAGTGCGAGAAGAAACGAAAGCGTGAGTCCATGCAGAGTCAATCCAAGCAGTGAGAGGAAAGAGCATATGTTTTAGTAGCTCTTGATTAAAGCAAAGGTTTGATTTTCCTAGCAATACATTTTTCGCATCTTTTTTGACAGAGAAATTTCCAGGGTGTTTCGTAAGAGCTGGAACATTAATGCCGTCTTTTTTACGGATAAAGATCCATCCCAAGTTTAATTTAGCCGCTACATCGGCCTTTGAGTTATCCGCCCTAGCCGTGAACTGCACTAAATTCCTTTTGACAGACTGCTTCAAAACAGCTTGTTGAAAAATTTTCTTTCATATTGTTAAAAAGATATAGCAGGGCAAGGCCCTTTGTATTCAAATGTAACACCATATCCTTTGACGAATTCTAAGAGTTTTTTGATTTAATACATTCTGGTCTCATACGTCTCATTGTACATTGTACATTGCACAATACGAGGCATGATTAAATCAATCCAATCATTGTGTCTAAAAATGCATGAATCGAATATTGGTTGTAAACTTGAAAAACCTTGTTACTGAAAGTTGTCTTGGGATGTAATAACATCGAATAAAGTCCACTGTGAAACCTTGTTTTCGTGTTTTCAGTTGCTGAGCTCCTGTGCACACGACGCTCCATAGTCACGCACCACAGTTCTCCACTTGTAAATTAATCCCCTTTTCTCCAGTGTAGGTTCTATCAAATTTTTGTTTCCTCATAAGACAAGCAACAATTTCTACCATAGAAAATGCAGTGAGAATTGTGAAATAAACATTTTCCATTTGGATTTTGAACGGTGCTCCACTGAAACGTTAGTAAAACCTTTTCCCACAATAAACTCTTAATAAACGATGAGTGGAGCACTGTGCATTTTCTAACTTTCTCGCCTTGTCAGATGAAGGTTTCCTCAAATATTACAAGAAAATAGCTTCCTCGTCAAAGTTATGTGCTTAAATGATCGTCGAAAAGTTAATTAGAGTTGAAAAAAGGACAAGTTCCCGTGGAGCACTGTCAAAGAATGTCACGTTATGTGCGTGATTTACAATGAGATGAGCAAATATTCTGCGGTAAGTTTCCTGTTCTTATTCTTGTCCAGAGTAAGTTTGGCAAAAAATCTTGGGCAGGGAGGCAAATTCACTGGATATTTTCGGTGGTCTTTATTTTCCGAAATGGAAGAATCGCCAATAAAGTAACATATTAACCTGACATTTAGCTTGATCGACTCATAGACCCCGCCTTTTTGTAAGACTCATGTCGCCTAAAAAATGAAAAGTCCTTTTTGAAATCAATGTCTTTGCTACCAGAGTTTCTAGGTAAAGGGTCCTGGAATATAGACAATGTCGTTTTCCCTAACTGCGACGTTTTTGTTGTAATCGTCATTGTGGTTAAACCCAACCACATTACTTAGTTGTAGCAGTTTTTTTACTACACACGAACATATATCTCTAAGGTTTGAGTTGTGTTGAATGTTTCTGCTCTGTTTTGCTCTTGTGCCATGTGTTATTCAAGAAAATATCTCTATATTAACTTTTCTTTTAAATAAGAAAATAGCCTTGTAGCGCGGACAACCCTTGTCAAAACGTTTGGGACACTGTGTTTTAGTTGAGGAAAATGTAATTCAAGTTGACCCCCCTCCCCCTTGAACAGTGTTGGGTGTTACAAGTCAAAGGCCTTTTACATATCTTATACCCTTTAAGGACCTCAACTTTGTTTAAGGGGGGTGAGGGAAAAATCTTGTTAAGGCCATGTTTATGAGTGTGTATCACAGGTTAGATGCTAATTCCATACAAAACCACGTGAAAAAAGGGGAGGTGTCCCGAAACCTTTTGGCCAGGATTGTAGCTTCGTTCGGTACAAATCCTGCAATATCTTCTTCCCGACTAACAGGAAGGGCGAGGCTATACCCAGGGTTCGTAGACTGAAGATATGGTTGACAGTGTTTTCCTTCTTGTTAGTGGCTTGTCTTTGATGACAATTCTAAAACCGAGCATGTCTGATTCGATTGGTTACTGGACACCAAGAGCTCTCTACACTAGATAGTAGTCACTTCCTATACTTTCAAGAACGGTCTTGGTGTTGCTGACGAATTTGGCCAAATTAAACCCTCCATGGGTGCAAATATGGCGAGCGTCACGTATTCTTTCGATAGCTGTATCTCCTTTTTCTTCAGGGCGCAGACAGTCATCAACCTTAAAGTTCTTTCGCAGAACATCTGCGGCCTCTCCTCCAACACTTTTTCTGCATCATCTGCTTGTTTTCGTAGCGCGAATTTTGAGCAACTTGGCAATGACTGCTCCGAACAAGTGGACATTCATTTGGTACTCTTCAAGGTCTTGTGATAGGTCTGCATCAGGCCACCAAAGGAAGCGAAGAAAGTGGCATTTTGGTACGTGCACTTGCTAGAACATTGCATCACTGTCACCCATAAATATGATAGGTTCTTAATGAAATCTTGTAAGGACACCAACAAGTCGATTTGTCAGGTAAGGCCCTTGTAGCAACTTGTCGTTGAGCGATACTCTTCCAAACCTAGCGCTACAGTCGAACACCACTCTTATCTTGTTTGGCTTCTTAGCATGGTAAACGCAATGATGGGCTAAGTACTAGACTTGACCCTTCTTCGCAGGAATAAGATGAGACGGTCCCTTGCGAGTAAACCCTTGGCAATGACGCTGCTCATAAAGTCAAAAGTCCCTGTAAAACTTCTCATTGTCAATAAGCTCCTTCTGTAAGCATAGTGCTTTTGATGGTCTTCTTCTCTGTTATCAGAAAACCATTGGCTGTCCGTTATCGCGGATAGGAAAGGGAATTTCATAATGATCTTCCGTGTAACAAATTCCCTGACTATCTTCAGAAACTTCGTCTCCTCTCGTGAATATTCTTGCTCCTTGTCTTCCATTCGTTCAGTGAACTCCAGCTCGAGGGTCTTGTTGAGTACTTGTTGAGTGACTATCTCCCTAACTTTGCTCTCTATCATGAAGTGGTAGTCGAGGTGTCTACCTGAACCGACCCCCGCAGCAGCAACTCTATGGCAATTGACATTTGGATGTTCGGTGCCACACATATACAGAGGGCCCACTATTGCCCATCCAGCAAACGTCCTGATTGCGAAGGGAACACCATCTTCGCTAGCTAATATACGTCTATTGTTTTAAGAGCTTTTGGGCAGTTTGAGCCAATTAGAAGACCAATCCTGACATAATGTAACTGTGTAGGCAGCTCTTTGGCTATGCTTCACAAATGTTTCCAAAGATAGGCAAGTTAGGGTGTAGGCACATTTTGGGTGTGGAGAGGTCCTCTTGAATATCTCTAGTAGCTGTATGGGATTCTCGCCCTTTAATTCTGCGACGATTAATCCATTCAAGACTTTAGAGTCGTGTAACTCTGTACCATTGACAGTCTTCACCATAAGTTGTGTATTCACACCCTTTGACCCCAAGGTAGTCGCGATGTCATCAAGAATGAACAAACCAGTAATGCAGGTGTCAAGCATAGCCTAAGTAAGGACTTCACTTTCAGTAGATTTCAGCTTAACAGGAACGACAGGAACGGCGGTTACTGTTTTCTGGGTACCCACAACATTGCAGAGGGTTTCTTCCACCTTTGTGTGAGCATTCAAAACGTTCTCTTTTGGTTGCAGAGGAGTAGAACTGACCTGCTTGGAGGCCATCTGTTGGAGCTCGCCAGCTGGAATATTCTCCATGTTTCTTTCTTCTTCCTCATTGTTAAGAAATTCGTTGAATAATTTTAGATCAGACACAGTTTTCTCCTTCGTATTGGCATCTTCTTGGTCTTCGGTAAATGAAGCAATTTCGTCTTCAGTAAACTTAACGAATCTTTTGCTCGCTTTTTTCATTCAGGCAATGTTTGGCAGCGTTTGCAAGGCGCCTACAAATTTCAGAGAGAAACTACCGAAAAACCGTCATCGATAAACTCGCGTGAGAGAAAATAAACCACCCGGGTCCCGGAGGTAGTTTTCATGAATTTTACGAGTGGTATATTTTCCAGTAAAACAGTCGTGTCTGTATAATAAATATGTTATTCACCGGCCGAGAGGTCCGTATTGGGAGAAACTGTGCCCGAGGTCTTGAGTACCGCCCGAGGCTATAGTTAATTTATGGACTAAAAATAATGGCTCCCAAGGAAACTTCTTTAATGTTTACAACTGATGTGTTCGACACCTGTCAACAACAAAACACATGCACTGAAGAAGGTGCGCGTTCACTTTGAATGAAAACCTATTTTTGGCAGAAAACAAACATGAGCTGAATGAAACCAAAGCTACAAAGTCTTTGTTCAAAAACAGTAAAATAACCAAAAAAGAAGTTTTTACAAAGAACTTGGTATTCACAGCCTTTGACCCCAAGGTAGTCGGGATGTCATCAAGAATGAACAAACTAGTACTGCAGGTGTCAAACATAGCGTAAGTAGATTTCAGCTTAACAGGAACAACAGGAACGGCGGTTACTGATTCTTGGGTATCTACAGCATTGCAGAGGGCTTCTTCCACCTTTGTGAGAGCATTCAAAGCGTTCTCTTTTGGTTGCGGAGGAGTAGAACTGACCTACTTGGAGGCCTCCTGATTGCGGGTAATCACGTACACCAGTTGGATGTCGACGTGAGTAGCTCTTACACAAACAACACGGTCCTCATAATCTTGAAGTTGACCAGGACTGTAGCAGGCAAAGCAAAGTGGTTTCTTCGTTAGGAAATCCTTTCTTTGTGAGAATTATTTGTCAAGTATTCTTGACAGTCCAAATCTTGATTCTTGTTACAGAACTTACAGAGGCTAATGGGAGTGTGTGAGCCAGACTGTTGGTCAGCAGTCACATTTGTCGCGTGACTGGAGGTGTGATGTGAGGTACTGTTATGGTTCCCAAACGTTTTAAACTTGCCAAAGCTTTTGCCTTTTCTGAAACGATCTGGTCGATGTGAGGAACCATTCAAACGACGGAACTCTTCTCAAGCGAAGACTAGGTCGGTCGCAATTCCCACTTCTTACGACCAGCGGTCGTTCATCTAGGCGTCTTACGTTCAGGGATATTTCTTTGGGTGGCCTTACGTTTAGGTTTCTTAGAACCACGAGCCTTACATGCATAGGTCTTATGTTCAGCGGTCTTAAGACAGGCGATCTTATGCTCAGGAGTCTTACGTTCAGCCATCTTGCATCCAGGCGTCTTACATCCAGAGGATTTACGTTCAGGGGTCTTACTTTCAGAGTTATTACATTCAGCGATCTTACATCCAGTGGTCTTACGTTCAGGGGTAGATAGCCAGGGGTCTTACCTACAAAAAGTTAAAATTCATTGGTTTTACGTTCAGGGGTCTTACATCCCGACGTCTGACGTTCAGGGGTCTTACAACCAGGGGTTGTACATCCAAGAGTTTACGTCCACCATTGGTCTTTACTCCAGGGCACGTCTAGCATTAACTCTTATGACGTGGAGTCAACTATTCGAGTGCTGACACTTCACCGGGCTTGGGCATCAGAAAATAAGGACGGAGGGGTGTGGGGTCACTGACGTCATTATAGTGGGATAAACAAAGTGCTAATTAGCACTAATGACGTCATACGATTTCCACGATGACGTCACAATATTGCTACCACCTTATTACTCATATCAAATTATGCTACTACACAATAAGGCTTGTTTCACATTATCTAGCTAGAGTACATTGGTGAGGCAGAATGTTCTAGCGCGTTTGACTGCAATTACTGCTTTCTGCACAACCCATCACAACATGGTCAGTACATCTCATATATTATATATAGCAATTAGATCTTAAAGCATATCTTCACTTATATCTCTAAATTACTTTGATGTTATGAACCGTTCTGTCTCATACGATGTAAGTTATTCAGTAATCTCTTCTGGGCTTTCTACCGTGCGGGTAAGTTCATTTGAGCAATCACCTTCTGCATTGCACTTGCAGAATACCGTACATGATAATCGGGTGTAGCAACAGCTGCACTTCATGGTACTACAACGCCTGTTGCCTTCCGAGCAGTTGCAGCGAATCAGGTGCATAATCTTGTCAGGTGCCAGAGTCACACCAGCGGGCACGGTTACAGGTAGCAAGGACTTGGATGGTTCATGCTTGAGGTAACCAAACTTACAAAAAGATGGATCAGTTTGACTGGGAACGTTTCACCATTTCTGACGATCTTAGTGAAAATGTTAGGCGTTTAAGTGAGACTATTATTGATGTGTAATGAATGCTTTCCAATTATTAAGGTTAGAATTTCATCTTGAGATCCGCCTTACATGTCTCCTCTTGTTACACATTTGTTTAAAATCAGGAACAAGTACTCACGGAGTCACAGACTGTCTGAAAACCGTCCTGCAAGAGCGAATCAACAAACTCATTCGCGCTGAACAAATCTGTGCTGTTAATGAGAGACGAAGTAGTAATCAATCCAGTTCGAAGAGGTGGTGGGATACTGTCAATATGATCACCGGTAGACAGGCTCACAATGCACCCGTCAGCTCTTCCATTGACCCGAAAACAATTAACTTATATTTCCAGTCTATCAACACTGACGATCAGTACTCCACGCCCGAAGTCCCTTCCATCCTGGATGGCACTCGTATTCCTACAATTGAGGTGCACACTGTATGGAAGTTTTTTAGTACATTAAAGCGTACTGCTCCGGGTCCAGATGAACTTCTGTTTTGGATCTGGAGGGACTACGCTTATCAACTTGCGCCAACAATCACCAAAGTATTTAACTCTTCTCTCAAGAAACAGTTCGTCCCCTGCTTGTGGAAGCTAGCTAATATTACACCTATTCCGAAAGAGACTCCTTTTGAAACATGCAATCAGCTGAGACCAATTTCCGTAACTAACGTTATTATGAGACTCTTTGAAAGCGTGGTAGTAAAGCAAGAGCTGTCTCCTGTATTGAAGTCTGCTATTGGCCCAGTCCAGTTTACCTACAAAGAAGGATGCAACACAATCTTGGCGCTTCTTACTTATCATCATCATTGGCTAAAATGGTTGGACAGGACAACAGACTTTGTAAGAGCTTTCAGTTAAGCTTTTGACAGTGTTCCACATGCTATTTTTGCAATAAGCTAATGTCACTCAGTATAAATCGCTATGTTATCAATTGTATTGTCAGCTTTCTTAGTAATAGGAAACAGAGAGTAGTCGTGGACGGCTTTGTCACCGAATTTGCTACAATTAACGGAGGGGTACCGCAAGGTACTGTCCGCGGTTCCATATTGTTCTCTATTATGGTAAACGACATAAGACCGGTTTACCTAGAGCGCAATCTATTGCTCAAATATGCCGACGATCTTACACTTA